ACAATCTTGTAGAAAAGGCAAGCATTTGCATGTTTAATGAGGTTTTCCCAGCTTAGCAAGTTGTATTTTTGGAGTATTGGGCAGTGAACCTAAAATTCGACAGACTGAATTTGACCCAATTACATACTTTTTTAACCTGAGCCTTGAAATTGAGTGTTGAATCAATCATGACTCCGAGGTACTTGTATTGTGACCCCACCTGTAGCCTCTCCCCTGATACAAAAACATCTGGCGCAACACAAGAGGACTTTGTTTTGGTGAAGAAGATGCATACTGTTTTACAAATATTTAGTGGCAAACAGCATTGTTGCAACCAAGTTGTTACATGAACCATGGTGTTTGTCAGTTCATTAGCCACTTGTGTCATATTGCTTCCATCTACATATATTACATAGATGCAGCACATCATTGGAAAAAACAGAGATAATCTTAAAGCTGCCCGTTCATTGTATCTGAGTCTTCCTATTGTCTTCAAGAACATTTCTTAAAGGATAAACTCACCATGTGTGACTTCTTGGAAGCCAAGTCTCCTTCCCCACCTTGTCTATGCAGAACTTCTGGGGACCGTTACTTCCTGCACAAAGGAAAAAAGTGATTTCAATTCATTTAAGCTTGAATTTCTTTTTATTATAATGGTCTTACATAACAATTGCACTTGTTCTAATGCTTACCATACATTCTCATATGGGAAATTATTATATAAAAGCCAGGATTCAAATAATATTTAAAGTTGTTGAATTTGCCTGTAGTCTAGTAAAACTGCTCAAACACTACATTTTAAAATAATGAACTTCCATATTACTAACTTCATCAGTACAACATGTTTTACAAGTCCTCTCTTTTTAACAGAGATACTCGTTTCATCCTCCTATTCATTCCAGTTTTTCTGTTGCCCTGACTGAGGATGCCATTAATGAAACTTTGGATAGTATCAGTAATTGGAAGGCTGGGATATGCAAAATGTCAAACCTAACAGTGAGGAGAGTGGGGAGTGTGTGTGTACCTATGAGCTCAGTGAAGCCTCCGACAGGCAGTCTGCACGTTCCCGTCACAAACTGCAGCAGACGGATTCTCTTCTCGTTGTCCATCTCTTTCACCACCTGCAGAAACACACCTCCATCAATCACTGAACACACCATTCAACAAAGTGTGTGTGCGTGTGTGTGTGCGTGCGTGCGTGTCCGTACCTGCCAGAACCAGTGAATCTGCTTGCTGTTCTTGGTGTAGTGTCTGTAGATGGTGTTCTTCTGCCAGTCGGCCATGTCTATCTCCTGCATCCCACACAGCATCAGCTGTAACAAACAACAGGACACTTCAACTACCAGAGGTCAAAGGCTGACTCATTTCCAGATGTTAGGACTCATTTCCAGATGTTAGGACTCATTCCCAGATGTTAGGACTCATTCCCAGATGTCAGGGCTCATTCCAGATGTCAGGGCTCAATCCAGATGTTAGGACTCATTCCCGGATGTTAGGACTAATTCCAGATGTTAGGACTCATTCCCAGATGTTAGGACTCATTCCCAGATGTTAGGACTCATTCCAGATGTTAGGACTCATTCCAGATGTTAGGACTCATTCCTGCGGCACTCCATCAGGACAGTCAGTATCAAAGGAATGATAACTTTTCCCTCTTCCTCTCTCACCCCATCACTAATGCGGATGCTGCTTTTAGTTCACATAACCCCAGACTCTTGATAAGTAACCAAGTAGAGTTCTTTTTTTACAAAATTACTTTTTTCTAGAAGCCTTTCCTATTTTTACCTCACTCAGTTTATTTATGTGTCTATGTTTGCTATGTTCCAATGACTTTTATAATCAGATTTGTATGTTTGTATGACATACAGAAGATAAATAGTCCATTATCTTTCATTTGAGTGTATTTAATATGAGGAAATATGCTGAAAATCAACCAATCAGTAATAATTACTTTAGATTTGAGTGTGTTCTAAATCCTTTCATTCATTACTCCTCTTCTGACTTTAAAATGATTTTTGCCGTTAGTTTTTCCTGTTCCATACGCTGGTGCTCCTCCTCACCTCCAGCTCCTTCTCGTCGAAGTAGCGCAGCCACTCCAGAGGAACCACTTCATTGAAGCCGTCCAGGAAGGCCTTGGTCTGCTCCTCCACCCCCCGGGTGAACCTCCAGTCTGTCAGCAGGCTGAGGGAGGAAGATAAACGTTGTGTTAACGCTGAACTAATTGACGTTAGCATGTCTGATCTGTGTGTCTGTGGTAGCGGCAGCGGCTGCCTCTGTTCACCCACCTGATGTACTCCTCCTTGTTCTCCTCCGTCACCAGCTCATTCTCTCCGTCGTCTTTCAGCTGGTGGGTGGACACCTTCCCCAGGATCTCCATGTCCTGTGCAAAGTAAAGCTCCACTCCACACTCCTCCAGGTTGTTGTCTCTGGAAACACACACAGAGACAACTTACAGCAGTGTTTGCTTCCTGCAGGAAGTCAGCTGCTACGCTTCCTCTGGTATGTTCACTTCTCCAGGTTCAGGGACCTTTATAAATATGCTTTTACACATGGAACATTCTAATGTGGTATTTTTAGACACCACAAATTCAAAATGACTTCAAAATGCTGGAAAGAATGCTGTGAACAGAAAGCAAACCATAGTCATGTATTTTGGTAATGTAAAGCTATGAGGAGCTTCTGAGAAACTATTCAGTATTTCTCTAAATAAGAACCTATTTTATTATTACTTGAAAAAACACCAGATGAAATCAAAAAGAAGAAATCTTATAAAACGTATCTTTCTTGTAGATACTTACTTTATAAGAGCTGCAATTATTAAACAAATTACAAGGAACTGATTATAAGATAATACATGAAAACATTCAGAATGGAAACATCTGGTAAATGAAATGTAAGGATAATAAATGAATAAATGTTTTGACGATTAATGGGAAAAATGTTAAGTGACAGAACACAAAATAATAATAATGATCCTGTGGTCGCTTTATGAATATAGGTATGAGTATTAATGATGTATTTGTTATTTGTAAGCTTTATCCTATACTTTCAAAACAAATCTGTTTTATTTTTTCTGATTTGTGGATTATTTAACTATTTAATGTATTTTTTATTTTTTTATTTATTTGGGGTCACATTATAGTACAAGTACAGTTTTTCAAATCATATATTTTTAGAGACCCGAAAGTGACAAATGAAATAGCAAACAAAATGAGTCAAAGTAAAATAAAAAAAACGAAAAAGTACACAGGGGTTGTTTGAAATAGCAAATGTTTACACATGTACATATACTCACAGGGGTTGTTTGAAATAGCAAATGTTTACACATGTACATATACGGTTTCACCAACTAATCGACTAGTCGACTACCTTTACCACTAGTCGGCGCTGTAGGCCCTAGTCAACTAGTCGTGAAAAAAATTGAGGTAAACGAGGTGCTGCAAAATGCTACAAAACACGTCCGACATTCTTATGTATGGCAGTACTTCAACGAAGATGTAACCAACTCCACAGTGAAGTGTCAGTTGTGTACAGCTGTACTGAAGTACAATACAAATGCATCTGCTATGCGCAACCATCTAAAGATGAAACACCCGCTGCCGACAGCTAGCACTAGCAGTAATGCTAGCACCAGTGAGCAACGGACCGGCGTCAGCACTGAACAGAGGCGAACGAACAGCAAGAAAACACGGGTCAACAGTGATGCGGATGATGAGCTACGGGATTACTGCCAGCGGACACCGCATATCCCCACAATGGATAATCCACTGGAGTGGTGGGCAGAAAACGTGCACCGCTTCCCCCGCTTTCGAGGAGCTACCTGGCTATTCCAGCCACAAGCACCCCGAGTGAGAGGGTTTTTTCCCTGGCAGGCAACACTGTCACCCGAAAGCGGTCAAGCCTCCTTCCCTCACATGTCGATGCGTTGGTGTTCCAAACCAAAAATATGGAAAGGTGGACGTTATCGTGGAGGACAGCGAATAAAGTGTTGCGCACTGGATTTACGTGG